GGTGGTGGTGGTGGTGCTGCTGCTGCTGCTGCTGCTGCTGCTGCTGCCGTTACTGCTCCTGATTATGATGCTGCTGCTGGCGGTGCTGCTGCTGCTGCTGTTACTGATGATGATGCTGCTTCTGGTGGTGGTGGTGGTGGTGCTGCTGCTGCTGATGATGATGATGCTGCTGCTGGTGGTGGTGCTGCTGCTGCTGCTGCTGATGATGATGATGATGATGATGATGCTGCTGCTACTGCTGCTGATGCTGCTGCTGCTGCTGCTGCGATAATTAAAAGGGGATTGCACGGGAAAGCAACCTGCGTACTTACGTTATTCTGAGTTGAACAACACGCAGCAATCAATCTACACCTATGCTTCATTTAGCTTGCAACTTTTTCCTTAAGAAATCTTCTGATTTGGTTTAAGTTCGCGTGGCAGGGAACAAAGTAAGAAGCCACTTCGCGTGATGATTGCAACACTTTGTAAAAAAATCATTTTGCTAAAATTAACAACCTTTCGCTGAAAAAGTTTCAGGAGTTCAGCGAAGGTAGATTTATGAAATGGTGGTAGACGGCAAAGGCATTGCGAAACATTGGAAAGCACGATGAGTTGAGATGCCTCACGAAGACTGTGCGCATGCCATTATAACTAGCCACGAAGTTAATGAAAAGAATGTTACACGTTGTCAACTTGTGTCAAAGTCATCGGGAGGGGTGTTCGTGTGGTGCCGTGAGTAAACGATGGGTGTTGTTTTGGTTTTAGGTTGTTAGTGGGAGCTCCGCTGGGCAACACGGGTCAGCCTGGCACGAATATCACGGGACTCATGTACTGGTGTCCGTTCTCCACGCGGCGGGACGACTGCAGACCTGTGAACCACCTCAAGGCTGGAGAGCTGGAGAGACGTATGTCAGGCCTAACATAAAATATTGCTTGCTTCCCCTTTACCGACCGACTCGTTAAAACGCCCCTACTCGACACATTTTATTGGCCGATTAAAACAAAACAAAAATTATTTCGTTTCGCCAAAAAAAAAATCAAATTCGGTCCTCAAAATATACACAAAACAGAATATACAATATAGATACACACATCTTGTCAAAACAAAATAAAAAAGATTTTTCACCTACCTACCAACTCGGTACCCTGAGAGGCGAGTAGGTAAAGGGGAAACAAACAATTTTTTAAGGGTGGCCTCATACAGAATTACCTCCATGTTGCTCATGTTTCTTAGTGATTGTTTCTAATTTCTCTCTTAATCCTTCTTTCTTCTTCTTTCATTAATTCTAAATGTATTTCGAAAGTCAAAAGTTATTTTAAGAAGAAGACAAACAGACAATCTCATCATAGAAACATTGTAAGATTAGCTCTCTTAGCATCTCGTAACTGAACAGTTTCACGGAAAATTAATACCTTACATTATTTTTTTGTGGTTGTTCATGCAGCGCCACCTACAGGTCCTAGTGGAAACTACTCAAAAGATGACCAGTGGTTAGGTGTGGCAATTTCTAGTCAGGGACCAGGCCAGTATGTTGTGGTAAGTCAGATTTCTCTCGATGGGCGGCAATACGCTTACGTATCCACCTTTTCATAGACGCCTTTTATTAGGAATAAGCTTAGTTTAAATCGCACGCGAGTGAGTTCGCTATGCGAATATATCGTATTGTTATGCGAATAGTTGATAAACTGGTTATTTAGAATACGTCTAGGCATAGCAATATCAACAGTTTAACAATAACATTATACAGGCATTACAATAACAACGATACTCAGGGAACTCGACATTGTTTTTACGTTTCTACTTGCAGGTGTGCGCTCACAGGTACGTCAAGTATTCGACAGATTACAGGTATGGTCTGGGAATCTGCTACTCACTGAAACCCGACCTCTCGCACCACAAGGTATATCCTGGCTGCAACGGCTTGCCTAACCAGAAGGGACACGAGCAGTACGGGTACTGCCAGTTCGGAATGGATGTCGAAGTGGCCCCAGTAAGTACTCGTAGAATTTACTATTTCTCTCGCTGCCTATTTTTTTTAGTTTATTCTTCAAATATGCCACAAACAAGATCAAAGTTAGAGTATAGAGCAAGCTTGTTCACGTTATAAACGTGTCCAGTTAAACGTGTTTACATTACCATAATCAGGAGCAATTAATCTTTAATTGAGTATATTTACCTCTGCTATTATTCAGCTATTGATTGAATAGCCGTGCAACCTGCATACTGGCGCAGCAGTGGCGATATTTTGCTGCATGCGTCACGTCTGTATTGCAGCTTCAAGTGTGCGTGTGTTGTATTGCAGCTTCAGGTGTGCGTGTGTTGTATTGCAGCTTCAGGTGTGCGTGTGTTGTATTGCAGCTTCAGGTGTGCGTGTGTTGTATTGCAGCTTCAGGTGTGCGTGTGTTGTATAATGCAGCTTCAGGTGTGCGTGTGTCTGTATTGCAGCTTCAGATGTGCGTGTGTTGTATTGCAGGATAATACGATAGTGTTCGGAGCTCCAGGATCTTACACGTGGACCGGATCAACGATGGTCAACAGCTTAGGTGTAAGTAACAGGCGTCGTTGAATATCATTAACACTTTATCTTTTCTCCTCTTTATCTTGACAAACAGTGTCTTTATAATATTATGCACAAGAGGAAAGCAGCCCCGTGTGATGTTTTCTACCTTTTCACTTTCCCTCTCCCTCTCCCTCTCCCTCTCCCTCTC